ATTTCCACTTGCAGTGCCAGAGGATAAAAGTGAGTGTGAATTGCAGGTGTCACACCAGAGATGATTATGGACCAGATATTTGCATTTTTAAAAATACAATGCCTGAATTATAACTAAATGGTTTATGTTATTCTTTTGGCAGACCTGGCTCCAAATCCCAGACCTCCAACTTCAGAGGAAAATTCAGGACCCAATCCACCAGAATCCAATCCATCAGAACCCAATCCACCGGAACCCATTCCACCTACATCAGACAACTTTTGTAATGACAAGGTTGATGGGTTCTATACTAACCCACAAGATCCCACAAAGTACTATGTGTGTGGCAGTAATAGAGCCTACAGTTTTTCTTGCCCAGGAGGGCTAACTTTTAACATTCAATGCAAATGTTGTGATTATCCTCAGTAAAACGCACCTTGTATTGATTAACTCCAATGATGGATGCATTGCATTTTGATCAGAGCTAAGTAGAATGTTATATACATACAATCAGAGCCAAGGAAAAATAGGTATTTTCTGTATGATATTATCCATCTCTTCAGTCCACTTATATGTTACTCCAATTCTCAAATACTAAAGTGATCTTATCAATTGTCATTAAGAATGAGAATAATATTGCAACACCATTATTGAGGAAGGCTGAGAGCTACAGTCCAAGAACATCAGGAGACCCTCATGATTCCCACCAGATCTTATATCAAACCACAAGATATAAGCAATCATGATATCAGCACTTTATTGTAATTTTCTTAGAATAATATGTATTGTTACAAATTCTTTGTTCTTGTTTCCTATTTTGCTATATAGAAAATCATTGGAAATAAATTTGTCTCAAAGCACAGTAATTATCTGTTTCTTTTGTCACAGAAGGCCATGGGCTTAGTGAATTCACTGAAACTCTAAATTGCATTGGCTAGCCAAAATAACATGTTGCAAAATTGTACAGTAAGCCTCCATATTATGCAAAGGAATCATTCTAATATGATTTTGCTTAATACATAGAACCCTTCTCCTTCGTCAGCATGCCACTGAAAGTTGAAAATACTGTACAGTTCCCCCATTAGCCTGCTACCTGACCAAGGAGAGAGTGGCTGAAAAGATGCAATCTGCCTGTGTATATTCCTTTCTCTGTGGAGAGAAGGGAATGAAACCCAAGCTGGATCTACACTGCCCGATAATCCAGATTACGAAAGATGATGATTCAGATTATCATCTTTGAACTGGATTGTATGAGTCTACACTGCCATATAATCCAGTTTGAACCAAATATGCCCGTGTAGATGGGGGCCCAGCTGGGTTTCTCTCTCTCTAGAAAAAAATCCCCTTTTCACCAAGGAAAGAAATGACCAAAGTCCAGTTGCACCCCCTGAGAAAGGAGTCAATCTTTGGTCATTTCTCTCCACTGAGAAAGGAAAAAAGGAGCTGCTTTTGAGAGCTCATCTTGGGCATCTGCTTTAGCCTTTGTCCATGAGGAACGTCTTTATGTATAATTGAAACTCCACAACACAAACTTGTGTAATAGGCAGGCCGACTGTATTACCTTTTAGTCAGATAACACTTGTGCTGATCAATCAAACATTTAGAACTCAAACCTGGCATCTAAAATACTTTAATCCAAACTTTAAATGAGCTATCCAATTTACTGAATCTAATTGGAAGATTAGGTTCATTACCTTAGATACATCCTTTAAAGTTCAGTCATTTTTCCATAGGGACATATGTTACTGCTGTTACCCACTTGGCCAGTCTACCTGCATCATTTTCATGAGCCAGGAAGCAGTGTGTACACATGTGTATTGTGCTGAATTGCAATACTATTCTGCTCTTTTCTTCCTTCACAGATTTTGTTTTGTGAGAAAGATTTTTGGTGGTAAACAGGAAACGTTATGGAGAAACACAAGGGGATTGCAGTTGGCTTACAATATGCTCAGGGAACATAAATTAGCTGTCTTTGCAGGTCTTAGCTGGAAGCCCTGAATTATTATTCCTTTTATTTTTGAATGGCAACTCTGTGCACAAAAATTGGTAACTAAATTTCTTTAAAAATATGTTGACAGTTTTTGTTCAAAACATTCCAGAATCCTATCCTTCACCAAAAGAGTGCTGATTGCTGCTGAAAAAGCCCTCCCTGGATCCCCTGGACCTTAATAATTTCAGACCAGTGTAATTTCAACCTTCCTTTTTTGGGCAAGGTAATTGAGAAGGCTGTTGCCCCTCCAACTCCAGACAGTCTTGGATGACACATATTTCCTTGACCCATTTCAAGCCGGCTGCAGAACAGGATATGGAATTGAGACTGCTATGGTCGCCTTAGTGGATGATCTCCGTCTCAATACTGACAAAAGGTCTGTGTCCCTGTTGGTGCTTCTAGACTTCTCAGCAGCCTTCAATACCATCGACCATGGAATCCTTTTGGAAGGACTGGGAATCAGAGGCACTGTGGTGCAGTTGTTCCAGTCATACATCTCAAGCAGGTTCCAAATGGTGGTACACGGGGATAGCTGCTCCTCATAAAAGGAGCTGTTATGTGGTGTCCCACAAGGTGCCATTCTATTGCCAATGTTTTACAAGAAATATCATCTGTAAGCATGGGGAAGAGCATTATCAGTATGCTGGTGACATCCAAATATATTTCTCCATGCCTTACAAAACAGCGTCAGCTAAGGATAGCATGTCACCTCTGAATGAATGCCTGGAGGAGGTAATGGGCTACATGAGGAAAAACAAATTGGAACTAAATCCAGACAAAATAGAGGTGCCTGTCATCAAAGGTCCTCATCTGGGGATGGAGGTGTGTCAACCAGTTCTGGATGGGATTAAACTCCCCCTGAAAGACTATGTCCAAATGTCAGCCCAGGTAGATGCAATGGTCAGGAGTGCTTACAATCAGCTTTGGCTGATCTGCCAGTTGCACCCCTTCCTAGATTTGGAGGACCTGAAGATGATAGTGTTCACACTATCCACTGCAGTGTACTTTACATTGGGCTACCCTTGTACCAAGTTTGGAAATTCCAGCTGGTTCAAAATACAGCAGCCAGATTAGTTACAGGAACATCTAGGAGTGAGCACCTAACCTAACCTAAACTCATTCAATTGGCTGCCAATTAGTTTTTGGGCAAAGTACAAGATGTTGGTTTTGACCTTTAAAGCCTACATGGTTTGAATTCAGGTTACTTAAAGGATTCCCTTCTCCCATACAATCCTCCTTGCATACTTTGGTCATCTGGGGGCGTCTGTTTCAACCAGCCAGAACCTGACTGGCAACCACCACTCAGAGGACATTTCCATCTACCATCCTGCAACTGTGGAATGACCTGTTGGAAGAACTCCAATAGCTGAATGAGCTGTCAGAATTTTAAAACCATGTAAAGACTTATCTCTTCCAGCAGACCTACCCAGACAATCTTTAAACATTAATTTTAAATGTGTGTTCTTTGTTTAATCTCTGTTTTGTGTATTTTAATATCCATTTTATTTACATTTTGGGGTGTAACTTTTATAGAGGTACCTTTTAATATGTGTATTTGTGGTGTTTTTGCTATGCTTGTGTGTTTTAATTGTTCTGTAATCCACCTCGAGCCATGAGAAGTGAATAAGAAATGAAATAATAATAGCAACTATTATTATTATTATTATTATTATTATTATTATTATTATTATTATTTGAAACACAACAAGATGAGTCCACAGCAGACACTCTGCTGGCTGTTGTATTGGATCACACGTCGGACACTTCCCAAGTGTCAAGGACTGCGTGCTGTATCGGCGAATAATGTGTGCAGATCCCAGTAAGGTGGTCTTTTGCAGATGGCAGATGGTAATTTTGTCAGCGCCGATTGTGTTTAAGTGCAGGCCAGTGTCTTTATGCACTGCACCCAGTGTGTCAGCCACCACTGGGACCACCTTGACTGGCTTGTGCTAGAGTCTTTGCAGTTCGATGTTTACATCTTCATGTCGTGTCAGCTTTTTCAGTTGTTTCTCTTCAATCCTGCTGTCACCTGGGATTGCAACATCGACAATCCATACTTTGTTTTTTAGCACGATCGTGAGGTCAGGAATATTGTGCTTCAAATCTCTGTCTGTCTGAATTCGGAAGTTCCAGAGAAGCTTGTCCATTTGTGAGCCACATCCATATTTTTTCTTTGTCAATTTGGCTCTCAATTTTTCCCAGGAACAGTCCATGGAGAGTCTTCTTATGCCAGTTTTCTCTTCTGCTCTGCATTGTATTTTTATGGTATTCACTCTTTGTCTTTTGCACTTTAAGCAGTTTACTACTATTGACTTCCCTCTATTATTATTATTATTATTATTATTATTATTATTATTATTATTATTATTATTATACACTGAAGTCTGAGATTCTCTCCAATACCTGCCATTGACAAGGAGCAAGTGTTTGGGACAGCCAGGCATTAAATAACCTCTGGCTCCACTTCAATTATGTGCAACGTCCTGGCATTAAGTGCTACCAGATGTCAGTTTTTGGCCTCTATCCATAGAGGCTATCAAAAGCATATCCTTCCATACATTACAATTATTTGTGTAGGTCCAGGTACATAGTGTTATTACTAATAGTGTTGTGAATGGCCTGTGTTAATAATATCATGATGATGATGATGATTTAATGATTTATAATGCAATCACCGTAATCTGTGCATTCAGTTTTCCTCTGACCTCATCCCAGCTGTGTACATTGCACATATACCTGAAATGCTAGCTAATACACCATGTATGCTTTGAAATGGGCTATATTTTATGAAAATTCATTTTGTGATCAATGTGTTTTTCTTTTAGGATCTGTGTTTTTGCTAACAGGGCTAACTCTTTTGAAGTTATGTCCTGGAATTTCCCCATTCTCACTTTGAAGCTGGTTGCTTCATCTGTGATGATGCAATAGAGCAAACTTAAAAGAAACTAAATTTGAAATATTCTGAGAACAAAACTGTCTCAGTCTTTAAACTACGGTCATTCTTCTAATAAAATGTTATGAGTTACCAGAAATGTTGCTGAACAGTGCTGGCCCCACCATGATGTCTGGTGAGACAGTCACCTTCTGAGACAGAGCACAGGGGACGGCAATTGTGCCACTCATCCACCCCACTGACGCCTTTGCAATTACTCCAAGAGAACCTGTTCACATTTGGAGAGCAGTCCCAATCCTGACTGTTCAGTGCTGGTGAGGGCCAGGTCTGAAGGCACACCGACTGCTAATCTGGGGAGCCAGCCAGCCCAACTTTCCACATGCCACAAAAGGAGGCAGGGAGAGGTGTCACTTCACCCTTGCTGCCATAAAAAGAAGCTAGGGGAGATGACAGCGGAGGCAGAAATGTGGATCCTAGCTATTTTTTAGATGCCTGCATCCATGACATGATGAGAGGTGGTATGAGTATGATGTAGAGCTTAATTGCAACATTGCTCGCAAGACATAAGTGGCACTATTATGTCCAACTTGAAACAGTTTAAAGTCTCTTATTATAGATAAGGATTTCTCTACCAAGCTTCTCTGGACCTTAGGGTTTTCTTCAATACTGTAAGGGATTGCATGAGAGATGATAATGGGGGTCAACTTAAAAAAAAAAAGCTATACATGTTATTTTCATCCAGAGGTTCCTTGAGATCCTAAAAACATTTCAAGAATTCCTCCAGGGTAAAACTAGTAGAAAAGCTATTCTAAAAGATCCATAAAGAGGGGATACACTGGCAACACATCTCCTTTGAATTAACTGCTTTGACAATGGAAAGTGCTTTGGAGTGTGGTGTAGTTCCTTTTCTGGACTTTTTAAAGCAGAGACTGGGTGGCTATCTGCTGGGATGCTTTGATTGTGTTTTCCTGCATGGCAAGGCGTTGGACTAGATAGCCTTTCAGATCTCTTCCAACTCCATGACTCCATGGCACAGGGCTGTTACTGGCTGTTTTTCTACTGACCCCTGCCTTAGGCCTGGCAACAAGGCATTCAAAAATAGCTGACCTCTGAACTCCTGCCATCTGTTAGTCCTCACATTGTCTTGACTACACTTTTCATTGCTGTCATAGTGTATACTGTCTTCACCAAGTCCTTTTCCATCCCTGTCAGGTTGCTGCTTTCAGGATTTGCCTCATATATTTAGTGGGCTGATGTTGTCCTATGTTAGAACAGGCATGGGCAAACTTTGGCCCTCCAGGTGTACTGGCTGTTAGGGATTGTGGGAGTTGAAGTCCAAAATACCTGGAGGGCCGAAGTTTGCCCCTACCTGGTCTAGAAGAAGAGATTTGCAGTACCCTCATCCACATCCAGAGACTACTATTAACCTCACCAGCCATGATTCTGCACCAGTTTTAATGGGTCCATTTATAACATCAAAAAATAAACAATACATTTTTCAAATAACTCAGGCATTGCCAGGTACCCAAACTAGTGTTTGAATATTTGAAAGATGTCCTGTTGAAGATGTAGTAAGCCTGCTCTGGATATTAGGACACAGAACAATAGAGTCAAACTGCAGGAAAAAACAGATTCCACCTAAACATTAGGAAGAACTTCCTGACTATAAGAGCTATTCGGCAGTGGAATATATACTGCTGAGGAGTGCGGTAGTCTCCATCTCTTGAGGTTTTAAAACAGAAGCTGGATGGCCATCTGTCAAGGGTGCTTTGATTGTGTTTCTGTATGGTGAGGAGTTGGACTGGATGGCCTTGAGGTCTCTTCCAACTCTATGATGCTATTTTGGTGTCGGTAAGTTTCAAACAGCTGGCTGTAATGAACAAATGTGTGCCACACCCACTATACTAGTTGCAACATTTTCTCTTAGATAATTGGACAATTATTCCAGGATGTGATGTGAATACTATTATTTTGCTTGCACGCTGCTGAGTTCATGCAAAACTGAACCAAAGCAATAGTGTAGGAACACCACAATAAGGGAATCAGAAGTGTTGTGCGGTATAGCAGACCACAGCACGCAATGAGGAGTAGAGCAATCGCATGGACTGGTAAGGTGTTTGATAAATTTTTAAATCTTCCTTTTGCAAATCGAGTCCCCAAGATTTGGAAAACATATGAGGAGGGTAGGTTCAACATGTTTTGAATCCTTGTAATTAGAAGCCTTTAACATTCCATGGGGCTGGGTTATTATGAGTTTTCTGGGCTGTATGGCCATGTTCCATAATCATTCTCTCCTGATATTTTGCCTGCATAGAGCCCAGAAAACTCCCAACAACCCAGTGATTCCGGTCATGAATGCTTTTGACAATACATATTCCATTGAGCCTTCCACGAAATCCAACAGTCATTGTGTGAATATCCCATAAATTGGACCAACTATGTAGATATTCTTTATGCCTTATATAAGAATATATACTGCATTTGTTTCAATCCCTTTATTAATCAATGAATACTTTCTCTTTCTTTCCATTAGGTGTAGTTGCGCTGATATTTCTACAACATGGTATGTCACTGTTTCTTTATTTCTTGGTTTTCTTTACTTTTTCCAGGAGACAAACCTCCTGATTCTCTTCTCACCAATCTTAATTTCGAATCAGTGTTGTACGATATAATATGGTTAAAAGCTCAGATGGCATAAAGTGCTCCTCTTGTGAAAGTTGTTTCTACATCCTGATTATTTTGATGGCTCTTTTATGCAACTTTTGTAGCCATACAATATCCTGCAATAACCAGAATTATACACCGTATTCAGAATGTCTGCCACTTCAGAGATCCTTTCTTTATCCACTAGCTCACTTCCCATCAATGTGTTTAAAATTAGGGTTTTCTCAGAACATACTTCCCTTTACATTTGCTTCCATGAATTTGCCATTTTGAAAGTGGTGGCTGGCAATTCCCATGTCTTTGGAGCAGTAACTCCTCTCCAGGTGTTACTTCTGGAGTTTTCCAATTTGCTGAATGCTTACCCAATATAGGTTTAGCACAAGCATGGGCAAACTTTGGCCCTCCAGGTATTTTGGACTTCAGCTCCTACAACTCCTAAAAGTCGGTAAGCTGGCTGGGATTTCTAGGAGTTAATGTCCAAAACACCCGGAGAGCCAAAGTTTGCCCAGACCTGGTTTAGCATCAATTACAACTCCTTCAAAGCTATCGTACTTTAGCGTCCACACTAAAAGAAAAGTAAAGGCAAAGCTTTCCCCTGACATTAAGTCTAGTTGTGTCCGACTCTGGGAGGTAGTGCTCATCTCCATTTCTAAGCCAAAGAGCCAGTATTGTCCATAGACACCAACTAGATCAGGGGTCCTCAAACTAAGGCCCTGAGGCCGGATACGGCCCTCAAAGGTCATTTACCTGGCCCTCGCTCAGGGTCAACCTATGTCTGAAATGACTTGAAAGCACACAACAACAATCCTATCTCATCAGCCAAAAGTAGGCTTACACTTCCCAGTGAAATAGTGATAAGTTGATATTTGTTAAAATTGTTCTTCGTTTTAATTATTGTGTTGTTTTTAAGTGTTTTTTGCACTACAAATAAGATATTGCAGTGTGCATAGGAACTCATTCATGTTTTTTCAAATTATAATCTGGCCCTCCAATAGTTTGAGGGACTGTGACTTAGCCCTCTGTTTAAACAGTTTGAGGACCCCTGTACTAGATGATGTGGCCAGCATGTCTGCATGAAGCACCATTACCTTCCCACCAAGGTAGCATCCATTGATCTATTCACATTTGCATGTTTTCAAACTGATAGTTTGGCAGAAGCTGGGGCTAAAAGCGGGAGCTCACCCCACTCCCCAGATTCGAACCGCCAACCTTTCAGTCAGGAAGTTCAGCAGTTCAGTTGTTTAACCTGCTGCGCCACTAGGGGCCCCTAGTGTCCACACCACAGATCATAATTACAGCAGTTTGATTCCACTTTAACTGGCGTGACCCCATCCTTTAGAATCATGAGACATGTAATTTCCTGAATTCTTAAGAATTCTTTACCAGAAGGAATAAATTAGAGAATTCTAAGTACTTCACCAAATTCTAAGTCCCACATTTCAACAGAACTGCTAATAATGTGCAATGTGGATACATCACAAACATCAAAATTGATTCATTGACTTCCCAATTAAGGAGTCATCAGCCACCAAAGCTTCTGGACCTCTTTGATGCCCGATTTTATTCTGATCCCCCTAAACTATTTTTGTTTTCACTAGTGAAACTGCTCCTATCTTATTCCATTTTGATACCTGTTCGTTGCCTAACTCCTTTTTCATGTTATCTTTCTCAATCACCATAACAGTTTCCAGTTCCAACTTTAAGTTGGTTTGTTATTTCACCGATTGGTCTCAGTATCATGATGGATTGGGGCGTTTTACTCCTGATGACATTGATCCACTTCTCTGCACCCACATCATTTATGCTTTTGCCAACATAAGTGATAACCAGATTGCCTCCAAGCAGAACGACATGAGAACGTATGACAGTATCAGACGCCTTAAAGTCAAGTAGGTATAACAGTGAATTTACAGACTTTGGATCACAAAGGAGAGATAATTCACATAGCAACTTTTAATTCTGATGCAAGATGGTTTGTGCTGAGGTGGTAAAAATTCCTCAGCCACCATATCCCATGGATGTGCTTCCTGGGAGTTCCTGAGAGCTATAAAAATCAAGACATCTGAGTAGCAGTAGTATACCCCTAATTTGCAAGTCCCATTGACAGAAATTGAAATCAAAGCTGTTTTTAACTGGATGGTGTTCCATATTCATAGAATCAGTGGTACAGTTGGGTAATCTCAGACTCTGGGGTAAATAATCTTTTAGGATCAATCTCTTTAGATGGCAACGTCTTCTTTACTTTTTTCAAGTTAGTTTGAAAAGTGGCAAACCAGCCCCAGTGCCATTTTTGATAGGAATTGCTTCTCTATATACTGGAATACAATTAATTTTACTTGTTTTGCTCCTTTTGATTGATTGGTTGATTTAGAAATCCCACACTGAAGACTCTTCTCTCTGTTGGTGGATATTCAACAGGATCTAAACCGTAAGTTCAAAACTATCAATTTATTCTGTTGCTACCCAAAATCAAAAGGAACAGAAGCCACTGACTCTGTACTTCCCCAATTTGGTTATAACTTCATAATATAACATGGAACAAGATGGAAACGTAAGAGTCAGGCAGCAGCTTTGAGATTAACTGATTTATTTTAGAAAGAAATTAACTGATTTATTTTTAGGCAATCATCTTCTTCAGAGGCACTTTTGTAGTTGGAAACCCTAACCCTTAACTGTACCCTCAATTCATTTCTGACAGAATAAATAAATAAATTGGCATTGTTCCCTAGTAGTGAATATATATAGAGAGAGAATCATCAGCAAGCCTCCCATTAGAATTTCTGCTAACCACCAATCTATGGGGATTGCAGGTAAAATATTATTCTGAAAATTGTAGCCCAGGATCATATTCATGTGATTCCAAGCATTGTGTCATCATGTCCTCCCACATTTCACAAATGACAACTGGCACATTTGTGGCCAAGGAACATCAGTATGTGGTCATGATGTTTAAAGCTATTAAAGAGGAAGACTAGACTAGTTAGGAATAACTGGAGCACTTAACCAATGTAGCTGAAGGTGAGGAATAATGGAAGATGTGGTCCAACACAAACTGGCAAGTCCAGTAGCTGTGTACCACTGCTTTAGAGGGTTGGAAACTCAAAGACAAAGGGTTCACATTACCAAAACTACTCAGAATTTTTCCATCGGTATATTTATGCAGAGTTCTCACTTCCAAGACCTTTTTTGTCTGTTTCATCATTTCTTTCCTGTTGTGCAACATTAGAGCCCACATATGTCTTGCTTAACAATGGTAGATATCTGTGTGTGTGTGTGTGTGTGTGTGTGTGTGTGTGTGTGTGTGTGTGTGTGTGCTGCATTATAGATCACATCTATTTCCAATCCAGACTGTGACTGGTCCAACCATTATTTAATATTTTACTTCTGTGCCTTACTTGAGGCTCCTGACAACATCACTACTTTTCTCAGGGCAGAGGAGAAATTTGACATAACACCTGTAGCTCCTCCTTGCACTTTGGGAATCCAGGACCTTCCATAAATTTTACAATAATGTAAAATCAATTAACAATCATTTTTACAATACATACTTTTCTGCACACAAAGTGAACACAAAAGACTAATTAGTTTTGGACGCTATTAATAACTAGCCGTCCCCTGCCACGCGTTGCTGTGGCCCAGTCTGATGATCTGGAAAGTAAAGTAATGAGAAAGTGTTGGTTTATAATATATGTAATTCCTTTATGCTTGTGGGTAAACAGTATTTCTTGCTGTTTCTTTGTCACTGTTGATGTGGAGAGTGTCTGGATTGCCTACTCTGGAATATGCAACATATCATAGTCCTTCTTTAGGGGTCTTTTTCAAATCTATGATACTGTATCTGTGTCTGTGTGTGAATCATTTCTATCTATCTATATCTATGGCTGGATGGTTCTTTGTCAGGAGGGCTCTGATTACATTTTCTTGCCCTGGTGAAGAGAGTTGGACTGGATGGCTTTAAGTATTTTCTGTTTTTCATGGGGGTTCTGTGTGGGAAATTTGCCCCAATTCTGTCATTTTTGGGATTCAGAATGCTCTTTGATTGTAGGTGAACTATAAATCCCAGCAACTACAAATCCCAAATGTCAAGGTGTATTTTCCCCAAACTCCATCTGTGTTCATATTTGGGCATATGGAATATTTGTGCCAAGTTTCGTCCATATCTATCATTGTTTGAGTCCACAGTGCTCTCTGGATGTAGGTGAACTACAACTCCCAAACTCAAGATAAATGCCCTCCAAACGCTGCTAGTGTTTTCTGTTGGTCATGGGAGTCCTGTATGCCACGTTTGGTTCAATGCCATAATTGGTGGAGTTCAGAATGCTCTATGATTGTAGGTGAACTATAAACCCCAGCAACTACAACTCCAAATTACGAAATAAAAAAAATTGAGTGAAGGACATACATTGGGTTGTTAGGTATATGCTGTCCAAATTTCGTGTTAATTGACCCACTGGTTTTTGAGTTCTGTTAATCCCAGAAACGAACATTACATTTTTATTTATATAGATAGTCCAGCTATCTATATAACTCTTCTAGAGGTAGCTAGTTACTTGTACCTTCTACACAATAGCACATTTTTATTACGGCTTATGCTCTTCTACAAACACAAAGGTTATATCTTTGACCTTTCAGACTACTACTCCTTCAGTTAGATTTTTGTTTCTGGGTTAAAAATGTCATTTCCTATTTGGTTCTATCGTGAAAACATGGAAAAGATTTATTAAAGTGCAGAAACTTTGTTCTTGCGGAACATCCTGCAGCACATTTTGCTATAGTTTTTCAATGAATACCTCACAGAATCTCAACCAATTCTCAAGTATATTAACTATTTTCAAAGTAAGTGCCGCTAAACAGGAAACAGGAACAGACTCTTTTTTTCAAATTTTGTTACATAGTGTTATTAGTGTGAAGTGCTTGGTTACAATATAAACCTGGAGGATATAGCATTCTTCATTAGTGTGTGCCCAGAGAACAACAGTTGCTTTTTAAAGGAAAAAAAATACAAGAATAGCAATGTCTCAGAAGCGAAATAGATACTGTTGTTGAAGGCTTTCATGGCTGGAATCACTGGGCTGCTGTGAGTTTCCCAGGCCATATGCCCATGTTCCAGAAGCATTCTCTCCTGATGTTTCACCCACATCTATGGCAAGCATCCTCAGAGGTTGTGAGCTCTTTTGGAAACTAGGCAAGAGAGGTTTATATATCTGTGGAATGTCCAGGGTGGGAGAAAGAACTCTTGCCTGCTCGAGGCAAGTGTAAATGTTGCACTTGGCCACTTTGATTAGCATTTAATGGCCTTGCAGATTCAAACCCTGGCTGGTTGCTGCCTAGAGGAATCCTTTGTTGGGATGTGTTGGTTGATCCTGATTGATTCTTGTCTGGAATTCCCCTGTTTTTTAAGTGTTGCTCTTTATTTGCTGTAGTTTTTGTACAGGTACTTTTAAAATGAAAAATGCAACAATGAAAACGAAGGCAAAACTTCCCCTAATTCTATGTTTTCCACCTGTTACAGCTTTAGAGATGTAACAAGATCTCCAGCCACACGTTCAGACTTTGTGCTGTCAGTGGTGCAGTTTCTTCGGAATCACGGTTTTGATGGCTTGGATCTTAATTGGCAATACCCAGAAGAGAGGGATAAAAGACGTTTTGCCGACCTGGTTCAGGTACATTAAAACACAGTTCATTTCTGTGTAAGCAGGATTTAACCAAGATATGGACTCACCATTCAACTGGGCAAATTTTAAAACTACTCAGTATCTTAGCTGTCAGCCTTAAGCTTCCAAAAGAATTGTCCCCCTTCTTTAGAAATATCAAAGAGCTTTAAGATTTGACACTGGGTGGCAGACGTTATTAAAGTGTGGAAAGGTTTTGTTCTGGTTTTTGTTGTTGTTGTTGTTTTAGTCATCTTCCAGTATATACCATCCAGAACATCCAATAAAATAACTTTCCCAACTACAGTACAGCAGAAAGTTGGATAAGCGAAAATGTTGGATAATAAGGAGGGATTATGGTAATGCTGAATGGACTTATGGATATCAGAACTTGGTGAACGTTGGCCACTAGATTGGCTTTTAATTGTTATTGTTTTAATTGATTGTTTTAACTACTGTGGTTATTGCTGTTATGTAATTTATCTGTTGAATTGTTGGCATCGAATTGTGCCAGTTGTAAGCCGCCCTGAGTCCCCCCTCGGGGGTTGAGAAGGGCGGGATAGAAGTGCCCAAAATAAATAAATAAAATTAAGGAAAAACCTATTAAATGTCAAATAGCATTATGATTTTGTAAATTAAGTGCCAAAACATCATGTTTTATAACAAATCGACAGAAAAGGCAGTTCAATACACAGTAATGTTGCATAATAATTTCTGTATTTATGACTTCGGCACCAAAACATCGCAATGTATTGAAACAGCTGTGGATCCGGGCAGGAGGCAGATTGTGTTGGATAATACAGAATGATGGATGAGCAAAGGTTGGATAAGCAAGACTCTACTGTAATTTTAAAAAGCTGCACTGTAAGGAAATGGGTGGAAGGTGGCTGAAACACACTTGGGTACAAAGTGTTGTTATTATTATTGTTATTCTGCACCACTGAAGTACTGCATACGGAAACAAAAGCTATCTGTTCCTCAAAACAAAATAACATCTACCCACTAATGTCCTTTAGGATTTCTTTCATACATTTAAGTCAGAGGCTGGAGACAATGCACGTATGGAAAAACTCATACTGAGTGTTGCAGTATCAGCTGTAACCACTGATGAACACTATGATATTGGGGAAATCAAAAGGTAAATCTTTCAGCTATATCTGTTACATACAAAGGCTAAGTAAATTTAAATTGGCAAGTGGTATCTAGAAAGGAAAGCATAATGGGTTGAAAAGTACAGTGTATTTCTTATTGACAATAGTTTAAATGGCACGGATGAATAGATAAGTGTTATGAAGCTTTAGTGCTCACTTGTGGAATTTTGATTCTCAACAGAGAATGAATTTCTGATTTTAAGTGAGAGTTCAGCCTGATAATTGTACAACATCCCATCTCTATCCTCTTATGTTTCAAAAACATTGAAGCTGGAATCCTTCTGTTTGTCCAAATTAGTGTATAGTAGACCTCTCTAATCATGTAGGCGAACACCACTGATTCAGTAGTGTTCACCTACGTGATTAGAGATTTGGATTTGGTCTAAGTGTCATGCACTCAGATATTCCAGGGTAAAATCTGGTGCAGGTAGCTAAAAAGGTACTTTATTTTAACCTCGCAGATGAACTGTAAGCATAACCACACTTGCATAATGGGGGCTGATTTACTATGTGTTCTCCCACAGATTTGCAGATTTCATAAATTTAATGACCTATGAGTTCCATGGTTACTGGAACGATGGCAGTCACAAGTACACAGGGCATACAAGTCCCCTTCACAGGGGCAGAAATGACCGTCAATTTGAGTTGTTATATAATGTGGTGAGTTGTCAATCCAAGGGTAAGTTTTCTGAGGCTTTTTCTAGATGTTATCTTTGACGCTATGTTTTACTTTGAGTGTTAAGGAAAATCAAACAACCCTGGCTGTGAGTTGAAACTTAGGAAAAAGTATCTCTGACTATTATAACTCCCCCCTACCTCCACTTCATTAAACAATATTATTATTATTATTATTATTATTATTATTATTATTATTATTATCACTTTATTTATATTCCACCCTTCTCACCCCAAAGGCGACTCAGGGTGGATCACAAGTACACATACATGGCAAACATTTAATGCCGTTTGTATACACAGTACACAGACAGAACAGAAGGAGGTGTTGTTTCGATGCCATGGACAGTCGGGCTCAAATCCAAAAGGGGCGCAGTCGCTCCATCCTCTATGACGAAGAGCCATCAGGACTTCCTCATTCCAGCATTTTCTGATCTTCTTTTTCTTTATGGCATTGTAAAACATCTTTCCTGCTTTAGCAGTACCTAATTTCTCTAATTACAGCTAAAGCCGTTTTCGAACTGTTCAGGTAAACAGTGAGCAGGACTGACGGTCGGCTGCTCAAGCCAACCCAGGGGTTCGAACTTGCAACCTATTGGTTGATAGATCTTATAGTTTTTTGTTGATGATTTACCAGCTGTGCTAAACCTCCACCATTTTAAATCAGAATAAAACTGATTTACAATGCTACAATTTCCCTCTCTACCTAGACCACTGCTTCTTAAACTGTGGTTTCCAATGCCAAATGGGATCTCTGTAGCTCAATGTTGGGACCCTGAAGAATTTGGCAACAGTAAAAGTTTTCTGAACATCACTTATTGACTATTCTAGGCATTTTCATGAATCTGTTTGTGAAGTGGATTCTGCAGCTATACCTTCTTAAAAAAGGAAAATCAGTCTGGAATCATAAAGTTGGAAGAGACCACATGAGCCATCTAGTCCAATATTAAAATGTATTTCTATAAAATACACGTTAAAATACACAGAATAGAGATTAAACATGAGTTTAAAATTCATGAGGCTGTGTAGGTCTGCTGTGTAGGTAACCAACTGAAGAGATAGGTCTTCAGTTGGTTTTTAAACCCCAACAGCTGATCTAACTGTCAACGCTCTTCCATAAGATCGTTCCACGGTTTTGCGGTGGCTGATGAAAAGGTCCTCTGAGTGATGGTTATTAGTAGGGTTCTGGCTGGTTGGAGTAACTTCCCCCAGGGGACTCAAGTGCTCAGGAGAAGGAAATCCTTTAGGTAATATCGACCCATGCCATGTAGGACTTTAAAGGTCAAAACCAGCAACGTGTACCTTGCCAGAAACTAAACCTTAGATGTTATCAAAAACAAATGAATAACTATGATCAGAAACATATATGTATATTTAATACCTCAAAGGTATTACATTTATTTGAAAATTTAGATCAACAAGATTGTTGAAGGAACATGCAAACCATAGTGCAACATAGAACTGGAATATGCACAATGTCCCACCAAATGAACACAGTGGCTAACGTGGTCTTTCTTCTTTATGCAGGATTCTGCTGTACAGTACTTAAAAAGTTTGGGTGTTCAAGATGAGAAGATCATCATGGGAGTCCCCACAGAGGGGCAGAGTTTCACTCTTTCTTCCAGAAATACTAGGGTTGGGGCTGGAGCTTCCGGTCCAGGAACACCTGGTGCTTTCACAAATATTTCAGGAAGTCTGGCCTATTATGAGGTATCAAGGGTTTCACGCATGTTTGTCTCCCCATTTGGCACTCCAGCATGAAGTTGTACAATGTCAGATAGACACAGAGAGTGCATAGTATAGTGGTTTGAGTGTTGGACTTGGACTCTGAGAGACCAGTGGATTTGGGGGTTTGATTCCACTCAATCATGGGAACTCATGGAATGAACAGGGGTGCATTACAGAATAAATGCAGTTTGACACCACTTTATCTGCCATGGTTCACTGCTATGCAACCCAGGAAGTTGTAATTTGCTAAGGCACCAGCACTCTTCGGTAGACAAGCTAAATAACTTGTAGAGTCCTACAATGTCTTTAGCCTTTTCTACCAAAGAGTGCTGGTGCCTTTCCAGGGCAGATAAAGTGGTGTTAAACTGCATTGATTTTACAGTGCGGATGCACCCTAGGCAGGCATGTAGCCAGGGGGGGGGCTCGGGGGGCTTCAGCCCCCCCCCCCCCGAAATTTTCATGGTGGTTCGCGAAAAGGCCTTATTGGTGCATTATTTAAACTGTTATGTTTATTCATATCATGATCTGATCACCATACTCAATATATCCCATATGCATGGGGGTATTGGGGTAATGATACAAAAGGTTTGCTAGGCTAGACCCTCTTTCACTCAGACTCAGCCCCCCCGAAACTCAGCCCCCCCCCGAACCCCCCCCTGAAAAAAAATTTAGCCCCCCCCCCCCCCGAAACGAAATCCTGGCTACGGGCCTGACCCTAGGAATTAAAAGAGGAAAATTATTATTAGTTATCCTTCACTAGCTGAGTGGAATTCAGGGAGGGATCGTCAACAATGTCTAGAATCCAGGTAAGAGAAGATTAAATGTTTGCAGGTGGAAATTTTGAAGAAGTTACATTTTTGGCCTGCAGTTCCCAGAATCTCAACATTCAACATAGCCATTGGCTGTGGCTATGCTGCTTGCAAGTACAGTATACAGAAGGCATGAGCAAAGTTTGTCCCTCTGGCCGGTAAGCTATTAGGACTTGTAGGCACTGAAGTCCAAAACAATGGAGGGCTGAAGTCTGCCCATGCCTGGTATACAGGAAGCTGTAGTCCTGAAAGATAACATTTCCATATGCTGCAGGTGGGAATCTAGCGGGCAGGAAGGATACAAAGTGTTTTGGTGCAAAAACCATTTCCCAGTCAGGAAGGGTTGATGAAAACATTTTGCTACTTCCATCCAAGGAACAAAAAACATTCCCAACGAAGGGGTGTAATGCTCACAACCAATAAGGCTACCAAGAAACAGAAAGCCTTCTCTTTTGAAAGCTTGTGGCCCATGAGGGGTGTGGGTTGCTTCTCTGCCATGGGACGCAGTGGCCTGTCTTATATATATGCATACTGTATTCATGTAAAAATCCAAAATATTTTGGGCCCAAGTTATCTAGAGTTTGAAAATCAAACACCATAACCTTGAGCTGAATTCTAGAAGTGCTGTTGTGCATATAGTAAAGGTAAAGGTTTCCCCTGACATTAAATCTATTCATGTCCAACTCTTGGAGGTGGTACTCATCTCCATTTCTAAGCCGAAGTGCTGGTGTTGTCCGTAGACACCTCCAATGTCATGTGGCCAGCATGACTGCATGGAGCACCATTACGTTCCTGCAGATGCGGTAGCTATTGATCTACTCACATTTGCATGTTTTTGAACTGCTAGGTTGGCAGAAGCTGGGCCTAACAGCAGGAGCTCACCCCGCTACCCAGATTCACGCTGCCAACCTTTTGGTCAGCAAGTTCAGCAGCTCAGTGGTTTAACACACTGCACCACCAGGGGGCCTAGTGTGCATATATTTATGTAATATTTATGTCTTCCAGATCTGCATTTTTAATCAGGGTGCCAAGAAAGAATGGATTACTGAGCAAAAAGTTCCCTACTCATACAAAGGAAACCAGTGGGTAGGGTATGAAGACACGAGAAGTGTTAAGGCTAAGGCAAGTGTTAAAAGTTAATTTCCCAATTTTATTTATTTATTTATTTATTTATTTATTTATTTATTTATTTTTCCTGCATTTGTAACCCGCCCTTCTCACCCCCAAGCTAGTAACTGTCTTTGGGCATCATCAAATGGGTTTAGGGCTCCATTTCCATGCACTCAGGAAATAGAGCCTTATGGGAGTCCCATGGAGGCCATCTCATTATGTAAGGGCACTTCCACTGAGACAGACAGAAACAGTCCTAAACCCATCTTCATACTGGAGAAAGCCAGGGAAAGTGGGTAAAAGTTGTGAAAAGTCTATGGGATGGGCCATTCCCGTAGATGGACCTCAATGGGAGAGAATGGGGGAAAGATGAGTGCTTCACTCCCCCTGCTCCCCCCCCCCCTTGTCTGAAGAAGTCCTTACAAAGGTTATACAATAAGATGATAATTAGCCTCAGCACTGTAATGGCAGATTTGAAAGTACAAGTTGGCAACATTACAGTCCTGTTTATAACACAGAGAAGTCCTCACAAATTCAGAAGCTATATATATATATTTGAAAGAAGAATTGAGATTCAATAGTAATGACTGATAATACCTCCATGCACAAAGGAAAACCCTGCCTTCACAACCTGGTAGCACTCTAAATGCAGGCTTTCGTAAGTCACAGGAGATCAGAGTGCTAGGAAATGATGCCAGCCACATTGTTTAAAAGGTTTGAGGACCCCTGGTCTATACAATTAACCATTTCCAAAGAGAAATTGTATATTCTGATAAAAAATAAAAGAAACGCTTCAGTCAGGTTCCTGTCAGATTATGAAGGTAAGTCTTGATCATAAACATGAAAGCCCAGCTAGTAAGATATTGTAAGTCCAGCTTATGATATCATAACTAGTGAACAGGACAACATTTTTAGCAGTTTCACTAGAGTGTCTCTTTAAGAGAAAAAAGATGGTATGTAAATAAATATAACAACAACTTTTCATCAGAAACAAGGTTTAACTACTCAAGACCAAGGCCACATCTACTCTGGCCACTTAATCTGGTCTTGTAGGTATGTTGATACAATGCTTGTAAACATGGCTTATGGGAAGTGTTTATGTGGTAACTGGGATATTGTTTTTATTCAAAATGATAAATTTCTGCTGAAATGCTCTGCAAAACATTTGGGTGTTACTGCCTCAGATGGTGTCAGTCAATGCAGTTCGCACCCCTCCGGTTCTCTCCTAATGATATCACAGAGTGTCATCGCTTTTACTGAAACATTGTCCAGAAGACTGGAGTCATCCCTATTACACTGCACCAGTTGGTAATGCCAAATAGTCTCTGATGGCAGGACTTAACAGGGGAAGACCTTGGCATCAATCTCTTGCCTGGTCTGCTCCAAGTACATAATTTATATCTACTTTAAAATCTGAGTTTTCATCAGCACAAGTAGTCTGTTCACTGGTGCAAAACACATTCATTGTGGTCACAGTTGCTTTGGAGCTTGCAACCAGAAGTTGCTTTGCAAGCTTCTGGTTGCAAGCTTCACTGTACATAGTTAGGCTGATTGTCAGTTGGGAGGCATGCAATCCACTATCAGGGCCATACTTATTTCCCACAACTTGGGCTCATCTCCACACTGCAATTCAATGGCAGGGTAGGACTTCATAGAGGATTACAGATGTAGCTACTAGGCTTGGGTAACCACGGAAAAATTTGGTTCTAAACTCGTTTTGTTTTTAGGGGGCCCTTGCGTTTCGTTTTTTTTAATAATTCCGAATTTTTCCTTTTAAAAATTTTGAAATATACGAAATTTCATATAATTACGAATTGATTCGTTAATGGCGGATGCGATTGCGCAATATGCTAAAAAAAACCTCCAAATGGGACAGGGGGAACTTCTGAAGCTTCCCTCTCCCTCTGTTGTTGACTGTTGGTGTGATAAAACAAACAACAACTATAAAAATTGCACCAGACATGCAAAAATAATTATGAAATAATTACAAAATAATTATGAAATAATTACAAAATAATTATGAAATAATTACAAAATAATTACGAAATAATTACGAAATAATTACAAAATAATTACAAAATAATTACGAAATAAATTGAAAAAATTGTTTCGAATCTAATTTACTCCTCACACTATTCCTGCATGGCTCAATATTGGATCGTAAGCTAATTTAAATATGAATTAATAATGATACGAAATTAACTGACGAAACCGCCCAAGCCTAGTAGCCACATTTAGTCATTCTTTTACAAAGCTTCTTCACTCACTGATGGGAGCACATTTACTCTGCCCTATAACATTCCAATTTTACTATTTGCCTTATGTGAAGAGTAAAACATTTGAGCATATAGATGCCCCAATTTCACTGGAAATACTATGCTGTCCAAATCTTCCATGTATAGCAAAAGTCATCCTCTTCAAATTCATTGCTTTCCACATGAAAAGAGTGAAGAAAAAATAAAGGGAGAGGAAGATGGAACTAGTAAGCTCTCTTCTCACCATGGCCTTATCATATCCAAATGAGTGAATTGAATAATCCATAGAGAGACTGTTATAGCATATGGGCATATTTAGAATTGTCATGTTGGGGTTAGAGAATTTCTTTGTCAAGATTACATTTATGGTGCTTGTTTCTAAAAGGCACCAAATCCAAAACAATTGAATAGTAAGTTATAGATGGCAACACATTGTTGGCTAGGTAAAGGCAAAGGTTTCCCCTGACACTAAGTCTAGTCAAGTCCGACTCTAGGGGTTGGTGCTCATCTCCATTTCTAAACCATTGTCCAAAGACACCTCCAAGGTCATGGGGCTAGCATGACTGCATGGAGCGCCATTACCTTCCCACCAGGATGGTAGCTATTGATCTACTCACATTTGCATGTTTTCAAACTGCTAGGTTGAGTAGAATATTATCTACAAATCAAAAGTATCAAAATGTATCAAGTCACTTTGATCCAGAGACTGAAAAATGTCTTTGTATAGTAAAAGAATGCATATCCCCAGCATATATATTTTTTGATTCCTGCAAAACTTCTTCCGATGGATTTGTTACATTTTGGAAACAAACTCCATATTTGCATATGTTGGTCTTTCCTGGGTTAAATCTGGACAAATACTAATCCACTGGGCCCACAGAGCAGAGAGGAACACGTGTACGTGATGTGCACAGCTCAGAAGTATTGCTTTCTGGTTCAAATCTCCCAGAATCCACAAAGCCACCATGACAATTGTTCCAAGTACACAAACTTTGTGAAATATCTTATCTTTTACAGACTGTTGTTGCTCCAGATTTCCCTCATTCCTTTTTCTTTCCTTCAGGTCCAGTATATGAAAAATAACCATTTAGGAGGCATCATGATTTGGGCACTTGATCTAGATGATTTCTCAGGTTCTTTCTGCAATGAAGGAAAATATCCACTGGTTGAAGCTGTTAAAAAAGAACTGGATGGAGTTGTAGATAGTATAGGTAAACCACCAGAGAATATACCTGAAGAACCAGATTTTATCAAAGGATAAACTGGAATATAAGGATAACCTTGATGGTTAAAGGAAGCTTTATGCTCTTATTCTAGGGAATGATACAAATGACCAAATTGCTGTGTGAGAAACATGATGAACTTTACGTGTTTCTCAAATGCTATAATATAGACAACCATGATTAGTTTTATGTGGTTTTATGATTAATGTGGTTCTATCCTTACTAATTTGCTTCAATGGACTAAAGTCATTTACACAACCTAGTCCTTCCTACCTGCTTCATTTTTTGTCTATGTTTGGGGTTGGTTGGGGTGCTTATTATAAAAGATGCTTCCTTCTGGTCTCACTATTTGAAATAAAGTAACTCACATTATGAATTGGGCTGCATGCATTGTAATTTTTAAATATATGCCTAGTGGTTTCAATAAAACATTTTCCTGCCATTTTGAGGAGATATTTGTTTCCCTGTCTGCAAAATGGTATTTGTATCTCCCAAATTACCTTTGCGGATAAATGCGGTGTTGAGTGTGGAAAATGGCATATGATAATCTTGTTTTACATTTCATTGTTCAAGGTGGAATCCTTCCTTACATTCAGTATTGATCATTCATATCTCAAGGAATCAGTCACAGCAATATATGAAATGCACATTAATTCAGTAACCAGCAGCAAAATGAAGTTGGAGGTATGAGGGAAAGACATGGAATTTACAAGACATATGTTGTTTATTCATGTGCCACTAAGTTCAGCACCACTACAAATGAGGCCCCTTCCACACAGTCCTATATCCTAGAATATCAAGGCAGAAAATCCCACAATATCCGCTTTGAACTGGGTTATCTGAGTCCACACTCAGATAATTCTGGGATTAGTGCTGTGTGGAAGGGCCCATATAGAAAAACAATTAAATTTACAGGTTAGACTTCTAGTGGAGAAGTCTACAGCTTTTTCCGAAAAGATGGGAAGAGGAGGTAATGTTTTCAAGATTCCAGAAAAATTCAGCTCCAGTGTGTGGCATGCTGTCCAAATATTCATTCATTCATTCTTTTATAATATTTATATTCTGCCCTTCTCACCCTGCAGGGAACTCAGGGTGGAGCACTGCATATATATGGCAAACATTCAATGCCGGGACATAAAATCATAAGTATATACAAACATTAAAATCAGTTATATCCACTTTAAAATCAGTTGCTTACAATATAATTCATTAGCCTGATATTACAGGAGGGCATTTCTGTATGTTCATGTGTCCGCTGGATCTGCTTATTTTTGGTCACATGATTACAGTGGTTACATTTTTTTTCTTCCTGACATGTATGCAAGTATGTGTAAATTCACATGCCCATATTAACCAATAATTCTTGTTTTCTTGGCATTCTAACTGCTCCCTTGCCCTCCCATTGGATAACTCCCTTGCCTTGCTTCCCTTCTCCTTTCCTTTTGTAACCCCACAACCTTTCAATCCTACATGAATGTATAAATGAGTGGAAGGAGGTGTTCCTAGTTTGAGAATTAAACAGCTCCTTATTCATATAAAGAGAATATAAATGTGACATATGTGTGACATATATGTGACATATAAAAAGAGCCACTGCCAATGTCCCTTCCCACTGCTCTAGCTGTTCAGCCTTGATAGGACAGCTTAACAGTGGTTTACATAGTCCCTTTTAAGCCCAGTTATATTGAGGCTGCTTCTCTAAGAAAAGACCTCACATTTCCTTCCCACTGTCCTAGCAACACAGCCTCAATGAGTCTGGGCTTAATAGACCCATATTAAGCCCAGACCCCTAAATGCTGTGTTACAAGGTCAGTGGGAAGGGGCTGTGCTGTCTGCTTCTATAGTCGTGGTTCTTTCCACATCCTCTCCCCATGCCCTGTTCCCTATGTCTGCTCCAGGCATCCACATAACTACTACCTTTCCCCTTCCCCCTCCCAACGCCTTACCCCTCCTACCCAAAAGAGAAAGGACTTCATCAGATGGTTTTCCTCCTAAGTTTCTACACATTTCAAATAGAGATGTTGGGAGATCACTTCTGATTCTTGTTGCTTTTTAAAGTAGATGGTTGTTTCCTTTTTAAAAAGGAGGACTGTGTCCCTGAAGGTGTGATTCCCCCTTACTTTAGAGAGATTTTCAAAACAGGAAAAATTGGGTTGCTGTGAGTTTTCCGGGCTGGATGGCCATGTTCGAGAAGCATCCTCTCCTGATGTATCTCCTGGTGAAACATCAACAGACAATGCTTCTGGAACATGGCCATACAGCCCAGAAAACTCACAGCAACCCAGTGATTCCAGCCATGAAAGTATTTGATAACACAGGAAAAAGTGGCTTTGGAAGCTATATTTAAGCCATGAACTGTGTGATCTACACTCCCAATTTTGATCTTACTTCACTGTTAGACACTTTGTCTGAAAACCTGAAAATGATGCATTTACAGTTATTTCAGTTTTGTGATTTTGAGAAGTTTTTCTGGAGAGCAATGAGCAGGGGAGGAGTCTACTGAGGACAATTCTGTACCATGCCTGGCTATTACTCATCCCTGGGAGTGGAATGCCTGAGTGCATTCCACTTACACCTGGTGTTGCGACCCAGAGCAGGAAACTGAACCCTAAGACAACAATCCACCACACTTGACTTCAGGGAAAAAAAACAATCCTTTTTATTGATGAAAGATAAGTACAAAAATAGAAAAACGCAAGGTAAAAAGTCACAGTAAAACTCAGCAACCAGAAATGTCCATGAACAATATCAAAAACCCACAGCAACACTGCTGAAACCTGGAACCTGTTAGCAAACCACTAACCGTACTTGAAGCACTAGGAAAAGTCCTTGGAACAAAGCCACTGGAAGCAGGAGAATGCAAGAGACTGTTCATGAAACAGAAACGATGCCTGGACTAAATGGGCATCCAGGCCAAGCGTCTTTAAAGCATAGAAATCTATTTCGTGACATGCCTGAAGGCCGTGTTTGCATTTCTCTTAATCTAGCTGACCTCCGTAAACTCTGCGCTTCACCTCTGTTTTGCCAAATCTGCCCCCGTCTATTCTCGTTAGAGGAACCAGGTGTCCTATTATCTGGAGAGCTCGAAGGGAGTGAAAGTTCAATGCTTGGCTCTGAATCATTCTCATGGGAATTTGTACTTTCGCTTTCCAAAGCAGCAGGATTTTCACTACACAAACCGTCATCTTCTACATTGACCTCAGAATCATTGACACCTTCATTAACATCACGCTCAGAATCATTGACACCTTCATTAATATCAGGAAATACAATCAGAGAGTCAGGTACAGGTTCACACACAGGCTGAACCCCAACACCTGGGGTGCTTCATGGGGATCCAGAACACATCCAGGTGTGTCCATGCATTTAGATAGTGAACTGAACTTGACTGCAATAATAATAATAATAATAATAATAATAATAATAATAATAAATAACAACAATAATATTTTTATTTCTTACCTGCCTCTCCTCACGGCTCGAGGAGAAGCAGGTTACATTGCTAAACACATAATCAAAACACATAATCATTTAAAAACACTAAGTAGAATCTCATATTATAACATATTTCCATAGAATATATATTAAAATGCATACAACAAAAGTTAGACCTAGAGTGGAAGTTTAAAAGTCAATTAAAATGATCTGGGTAGGCCTGCTGGAAGAGATAGGTCTTCACGTGTGTTTTAAATTCTGACAGCTGATCTAGGTCATTTTATAGTCATTCTACAATGCTTTGTGTTGTACAGCTAGGGTTTGCAGGGATCCTTTATTATTCCCCTTATTGGAGGACCAGAAAGGTATGCCCTTATAGGACTGTCAGGTATCCTTTTTTATACGGGATATCCTCTATTTGAGGAATGGAAAAGCTTTCCTTTTTCTAAAAGATTGAAAAGTAGCCCCAAAAATAATCCATATTTTGGACTATGAGCCTTCCAGAAAGACAGAAATTTGTATATCATGCAACTGACGAATGTGGAGAACATATTCATTTACAAAGGATACATGACTATAAGAACTGAAAGCTTTAATTTGGTATCCGGGTTGACCACAAGCTTGTTAAAAGATGCTTCTCAATTGCTGATCTTGTATGTCATTTTGACTGTCTCTTGTTGCTCTTTTGAAAACCTGAAAGCCCTATGTGCATTTGGGAGGAAGTGGGTGGAAAGGAACAGGCTTGCCCTGCTTCTGTCCATTACCTTCCAGCATAACTCTACAGGGAAAGACTTTGTTTTATCTACACACTCTGGGCCACAAACAGGTTCTCCACTTCATCCATTTACTTTGTTCCTCGGCTCCCTATGTTATGTCATTTCAAAGGAAGGAATTGACAAAATCACCTGTGAGTTCTGTGGCTGCTTGCAGACAAACAACTGCCAGTTGGATCAGGTGAAAGACACTGAGCAGCCATTTGTTTTCTTTACTAGCTTAATTAATTCATCTTCTGCACTACAAAAATAGGGAAGCAATGATAAGAAAACAACACCAAATGAACCCAGTGAGCCCTGAAAAATAATGTGAATGAAGCAAAAAGATTGGAACCAAGCACGCAAGTCTGCTTGCTTTTTCAGTCTAGTGTTTCAGACATTCCTCTTCCTCTTTCACTTCTTTTTTTCATAGTAAACGCACGTTTAACCTCATCAAGGAATGACCATATTTTCATTGGGGCAATGCTCGAAGGCATGTACAAGCCCGCCCACCCCCACCCGCTTTCCTTTATTAGTTTCATAGTTGCTGTGTGTATTAATATTCAAGAATACCCTAACTTATGCAGCTATTTAGCCCAACATAATCCATATTTGTTCCTTTTTAAACAAAATTAATTATTTAGCATAATAGTTAGAGATCTATGACACAAAGAAAACTTCAGATGGTAATATCTATTATATTTTAAGAGTGACATGTTATAGAATGATTGGTGATGAAAGCCATTCTGGAGCAGATTCAGCACTTGACATTCTGGATCAGCCCCAGAATAAAGGGTCTGTATATAACCACCCAAAGTTTCACTGTGTTATATTATTTCAATTAATATAATGCTGGATTTAAGACAATGTATTTCGTGAAAGGAATTGTTAATTCCAAACATTTCTCTTTGCTGGTTTTCTCACATTCTTGTTAAAAAGCTAACTCTTCCAAACTTAGATGGACCTGTAAATGTGCCTGGATTAAATAAAATCAGAGTTCTTTGGCCTTATACACTTGAAAGGAAGAGATACCAATATACCTATCTTCAATTATTAATGTTATCAATACAATTACATTCCATATTCAACCTGAGTCATTTTTCTCAGGTACCTTCTACACATCCATACAACCCAGAATATCAAGGCAGAATAACCCACAATATCTGCTTTGTACTGGTTATTCGAGACCACACTGCCATATATCCCAGGTCAAAGTAGATGATGTGGGATTTTATTCAACTGTGTGGAAGGGGCCTCAGTGAGGCAAATAAGCCCCAAAACAAGGATTGAAACAAGTTTATTGAGTGCCTGATTGGCTACGAACTCCTGAGCTGTGTTCAGCTTGGGACATGGAGGGGGTCGCAAATTGATGGTAAGAGCTGTTCAACAATGGACTATGCTGTCTTTCAGGGCGGTGAAGGTTCTTTCTCTTGTGGTTTTTAAGCAAAGGCTGGTTGGCTATCTGTCAGGGGTGCTTTAATTGTGTTTTCCTGCATGGTAAAGGGATTGGATTAGAGGGCCTTTATGGTGTCTTCCAACTCTATGATTCTATGATTCTATTAGAAAATGTAACCTCAAAACTGATAGTCTAGTAATGAACAGCTATAAAAGTCTTTCATGGTAGATTCTTCATAAACCAGTGGTTCTCAACCTGTGGGTCTCCAGATGTTTTGGCCTTCAGCTCCCAGGAAACCTAACAGCTGGTATACTGGCTAGGATTCCGGGGAGCTGTAGGCCAAAACACCTGGGAACCCACAGGTTAAGAACCACTGTGTTAAACTGTTCATATAGAAGAAACAATTACAGCAGACAAATATAACATCCAACAACTGGAATTGGAGAAAAAAACAAAGTAGCATCTAAACCAGGGGTCCTCAAACTTGTTAAGCAGAGGGCCAGTTCACGGTCTCTCAGACTGTTGGGGGGCGGACTATAATTTTAAAACAACATGAACAAATTCTTATGCACACTACACATATCTTATTTGCAATGCAAAAAACCCATGAAAGAACAAATCAACATTTAAAATTAATAACAATTTTAACCAACATAAACTTGCCAGTATTTTAGTGGGAAGTTTCGGCCTGCTTTTGGCTGATGAGATACTCAAGCTAATTAGGATTCTTACTGTTGTATGCCTTCAAATCATTTCAGAGTTTGAGAGATCCTAAGTCTAACATGGCTGGGGAAGTGACCCTGGAGCATGAGCCTTAGTTTGGGGACTCCTGATCTAAACAGTGTCATGCACAAAAAAGAGAAACAGTGATGTTTGTGAAAAGTCCCAAAATCTCCTACTGACATGTTGCTGCAAAGCTTATCTGCTCTATCTTTTGCCTTTAGACTGTTGATGAAAGCTTGGTCTGAAAGGTATGTCACCACATTTCAGACCAAAAGTCTCCCTACTGGACATGTTGCTGCAAAAGCTCATATGCTCTATCTTTTGCCTTTAGGCTGTTGATGAAGGCTTGGTCTGAAAGTGATTTGTAATATTTGGTAATCCTGGAAAAGATCCTGCAGTGTCTTTTCTCCCTCCTTGGCAGTGGAAAAGTTCCCTAGGTTCCTGTTCCAGAGAGGGTCCTGTTGGGAACTCGCTTTCCCAGCAGCACTTGCATGGAGTGGGGGACAGGCATTGAAAAGTCTGTGAGTTCTTCTCAGAGCATGATGGGAGTTGAAGTTTTTCTCTCTCTGTTTTTCAGCCAATAAAAGGCCTGGTCATGTCCATGCTTTGATTGGCTGAGAATGGACACAACCGGTGACTACAATTCCCAGAACATTCTTTTGCGTTTTATCTTATATTTAAAAATATTATGGTAAAAACTTAAAATAATTATTAAAAAATCAGATTGGTGAATTCTTCTGAAACTTGGCAGGCAACACTCCTCCTGATTCGAGTAACTTCCCGGTAAACAGAATGAGGGTTAGCCAAAAATGGACCCCGAAACAGCATGCCTTTTGGCCAAATTGCACACCTCTACTGTTTATTCCTTACTAGAGCTAAAACTGGAATCTGAGGACTAAAAGGATACCTGTGATACTATAAGTCCAAGAATTCCCCAGCAAGCATGGTTACTATGGACATCATGATTGTGGGATATGGGGATTTATATTCCCCAGAAGTAACTTTTCCCTGCTTGAGCAAACCTGAGCAGAGTAGAAGCTGGAAAGTTCTCTATTAAGCTTTGTGATCTGCTATGGCCAAGTTTTCGGATCTGCTTACCAGTTAGGCTTTTAGTGCCAATGTCCACTCCAGTTGAGAGATTCTGAAAGTTGTAGGTCAAAAAATGAAGACCTTTTCCAAGTTCTGAGAGAGTGTATGTAGTGCAGTAATTAGAGTGTTGGGCTGCAAAGATCTACATTAAATCATTGTGTACCCTGATACGTCTTGCTTTCCCAGCAGCTGCACAAAGCAAGTCTCGTTGCACATGATCACAACTGATCAGGATTCTGCACAGTTGAAGTAACCAAATAACATGGCTGACACTGAGGCAACGTTTTCCAAAGGACCCGTGACCTCACAAGTATTGAAAGCAGGAAGATGCAGTGAATGATGGAGAGGACAGGAGTAGCCAACCCCACCTTACATCCCCATTTTCTTTTGGTTGAAGGCTGAGCCCCAGCTCAACTAGATTTAGGATCCAGATCAAAATCAAGTCATCAAGAAGAATATTTCATCACTTCAATTTTGGCATTGGTCAGTTTCAAACAGCTGGGTGCAATTAATTAATTAATCCCTCCGGCACAATAGCAATTTCAACATTTTTCTCCTAGACAGTTACGCAATAATTCCCAGAAGTGTTTCATCACAGTCTCTCACTTCCACCCTGTCTAGTTCTTATAAAGCTGATTCAAAGCAATGCTACAGGTACAACACAGGAAAGGACACAGAAGTGCTAGTGGGATATAGAAGAGCAGAGCACACAATGATGAGCCGAGCAATCCTAAGGACTGGTAAGGCTTTTGATGAAATGTAAAATCCTGCTTGGGAACTCTACTTTAAATAGAACTCCCAATATTTAAACAACATATGGGGAGGGTTGGCAAAACATATTTTGAATGTTTGTGGCTAGAAGCCTTTAACATTCCATGGGGCCCTAGAGAAAATGAAATATCAATGCGTGGGAAAATCCCATAAACCTGGCCAGCTAAGCAAGTCTGCATTCTGTTCAGTTAAAAATGTGTATTGCATTCATTTCAGTTCCTTTATTATTCAAAAGAACAACCTTAAAGGGAAAACTATTAAGATCATGATTTTCTGGTGTTTATAGCTTTATCATGGCATAATCTCTCTCTCTCTCTCTCTCTCTCTCTCTCTCTCTCTCTCTTTCTCCATTAGGTATAGTGGCACTGATATGTCTACAGCATGGTATGTCACTGTTTCCTTATTTCTTTGTTTTGTTCTCTTCTTTTTCCAGGAGTCATATGTTTTGAAAGGGCCCCCGATTCTCTTCCCACCAATATAAAATCTTGGATCAATGGTGTATGATTTATGGAAATACAGGCAGTCCCCAAGCTATGAACAAGATAGATTATGTAGCATTTTTAGTTTTGTATAGTTATAAGTAATATTTGTGAGTTATACTTAATTTTTTTACTGTTGTTTATTTACTATGTAATTCATGTGTTTACTTCTGTCGTTTGCAATGTGCTTATTTGTTATACATTGACTTTTGTTGTAAGCCACTCGGAGTCCCCTCGGGGAGGTGGGGAGGGGTATAAATAAATTATTATTATTATTATTATTATTATTATTATTATTATTATTATTATTATTATATAGGTTTGTTCTTAAGTTGAATTTGCATGTAAGTTAGAACAGGTACATTTTAAAGTGTAACTCCTCCCTCTCTCTCTCTCTCTCTCTCTCTCACACACACACACACACACATATACATACATGTGTGTGTGTGTGTGTGTGTGTAACTTTGGATAGCCCAAGGAAGGGTTAACAGCCCTGTGGTGTTTGTTTTGTTTTACTCTCTGTGCCCCTGTTCACGAGATTTCACCTCACTTTCTGTCCCTGTGATCATTGGATTTTGGAAAATTTGACTAGTGGAAACAAAGATTGGTATTAAAGCTTCAGTGGAGACACTTTTCCCTATGATAACTCTTTCAGGAGTGAATTTCCATTCTGGGGGGTAGATTTCTCTCACTTCCTGTTGTTAACCCCTGTTCTTAACTATGTGTAGGTCAGATGTTTGTAACCCAGGAGCTGCCGCTGATGTTACCATCACACTCTTTTGTTTCTGATCCAAAAAGATCCCCCTCACACAAGTTTTTCTATGCTGAAAAGCCAGATTTTGTTACCTCTCCACTTGTGAGAGTTGCTCTTTATTACTTTGGTTGACATTTTTGCACCCTCTGAAGCTGTAGAATATCCTATAATGACTAGAACTATATAAAGTATTCCAGATGTCTGCCAGCTTGTAGCTCCTTTTTATTGTCATTTTCCGATAGCTCACTTTCCATTAGTGTCTATGTGGGATTGCTTTTTTCTCAAAACATACTTTACTTTACTTTACATTTACCATTTTGATGTTCATTCACCCAGTTGAAGAGCTCTTCCTGAACAGCAGTGGCTTGCAGCTCCCTTGTGTTTGGGGCAGTGAATCTTCTCCAGGTCTTATTATCCAATGTGTTGTATGCTAACCCAGTGTAAGATCAGCACCTTCAAAGCTGCGCTACACTGTGTCTGCATTACACAATCATAGCAGTTTAATACCATCTCTTTGCTGTCCAGTTTTTCTGTGACCTCACTAAACTGTTTTGTTTGTCATTAATGAAATTGGCACACCCCACTGCTCATATCTAACTCCATTTTGTTGCATGTTCATTGACTGTCTTTTCATGTTATCTTTTTGAATCACCATAAAAGTTTCAACCTTTAAGTTGGTTTGCTACTTCACCAACTGGTCTCAGTATCGGGAGGAACCAGGGCGCTTTATCACTGATCACATTGATCCAGGCCTCTGCACCCACATCATTTATGCTTTTGCCAAGATAGAAAACAACATGATTGCAGCCACTGAGTGGAATGACTTGAGCACGTATGAGAGTATCCACCAACTAAAAACCAGGTAGGTATAGTAATGAAGCACTTTCAGACTTTGGACTTTGGTTCACAAGGGAGATATCATCTGAATAGCAGGCTCTCATACTGAGACAGGATAGCTAACACCAAGGTGGGGAAAATTACTTTTTGGACTATAATTCCCAGAATTCCTCAGCCACCATTCCCATTGGCTGTGCTTGCTGGGAATTCTTGAGAGCTGTAGTAATCAAAACACATCTGAAGCAGTAGTATAGCAAGTCCCATTGGGGAAAAAAATTAAAGTAAGAGTAATTTTCACTAAATGATGTTCCATACTGATAAAATCAGTGATACAGTTGTGTAAAATTAGACTCTGAAATTAATAGTATTTCAGGATGGGTCTCTTTACATGGAAATGCCTTCTTCATTGTATTGTCAAAGGCTTTCATGGCCAGAATCACTGGGTTGTTGTAGGTTTTTTCAGGCTATATGGCCATGTTCTAGAGGCATTCTAGAACATGGCCATATAGCCTGAAAAAACCTACAACAACCCACCTTCTTCATTTCTTTGAAATTACTGTATTTACTTGAATCAAATGCATATCTTTTTGGCTTAATCGAGATGCGCATTAGCTCCAATGGCGCATTACAATCACCCACCAAAAGGTGCCTTTGCCCCTCCATCAGGTTGAGACTAGCAAACTCCCAAGCCTTTCTCCTTCTCCTCACAGCTGATCTTTCCCCAGGTGAGAGAGGAGGAGAAATGGCATCAGTTTCCCTCCTCAAGCAATTTCTCCTTTATCCCCCAAGTTGGGGGTGGAGGAGAAATGGCATCTCTTTCCTTTCCTGGCCATTTTTTCCTGGTCTCCCAACTTGGGAAACAGGGGAGAAATGGAGCTGCTTTCCCTCCCTGGCCATTTGAAAGATGGTAAGCCAACCCCACTGAATTTTGGGAGGAGGAACTACTTGTTATCCTGCCCAAAAGCACTAGTTTATTGCAAGCAGGCTTTGATTACTTCTGGGTAAGAATCATACACTTAATTTTTACTTGCTTTACACCCATTGATTTATTTATTTAGAAACCCCACGCTGAAGACTCTTCTCTCTGTTGGTGGATATTCACTAGGATCTGCTCCGTAAGTCCAAAACTATCAATTTGTTCCATTTCTGCCTTTTCTAGCCAAAATCAAAGACAGCAAAAGCACCTCTGAGACTTCAGTATGACCTTGTATGGCGCTCACACCACATCTTTGGATGCACTGCTTTAATTGGAAGCATGGCCACAGGCATATTGGAAGTTCAAGTGTAAGATTGCAATGTAATAGCAGACACAAAGATACAAGTTGTGACTTGGGTCATTAATCTTCAGAGATATGTGAGGTAAAACTGCTTTGTCAAACAGTTGTTCTGTAGTCCTGAGGTGTAATGTCAATATCTAGCTTCACAGATATAATAATATAATAAATAATAATAAAATTTTATTTATATTCTGCCCTTTCTCCCCGAAGGGTGGATTCCAATCACAAAAAGGCAAAATTCAATGCCTGAAAACAACAAACAATGCACACATAATAACAAGAAATAATAGCCTAACATATCAAAACAAATTATAACTTAACTAAAATTGAAACTAAACATAACCTACAAAATAAATTTTTAACAACATAAAAACAAAGCATCAAACGGAAGCATCAGTTTCCCAGAGCCAACAGAATTTCAATAGTCATTGAAATACAAGCTCTGGGAGAAAGGGCTTACCATTTAAAATGAAAATTTTAAAATTTCACTATCATGACAAAAGACATATTCGACATATCTTTAAGTGTCATGAAAGTTCCCTTTACCCACTTTAATTTGTATTGATCCTAACCTCGGTTTTTAAAAAAATCAAGTGATGGAAAGAACTTTAAAAATGCAAGTTCCTCCTCCACTATTCCCTCTTTCTTCCCTAGCAGAGGAGCTTTTTCCTGCCATCAAGGCCTTGTTACTCCCTAGCAAAACATCCATATGAACTAGAATTGTATGTTTGATGCAGAAATACCATTGATTCAGATCTAGTTTGGATGTTTAGCACTTTTGAAGCGACTTCAGACACACCTACTTCCCCCTGCCCCCCAATAGCAAGAATTTTAATTAAAAAGAGCACGTGATTTTTAAATTTTGGATGTATTCAGATGTAGCTGTGACAGAGCTAAAACTCACAGGGCAACCAAGCCCTACTGAGAGGCGAAGCCAAGCCTGTTGACATGTCTCTCCAGTCAATCAGAGCTGACGGAGGAGAGAGGGGGTGGCAGAGGTGGAAATCGCTAAAAAATGTTGTTTTAAAAAAACTCTGAAAATTTGCCAAAAAACCATGGCTAAGTCAAACGTTTGGTGAGCTAACAGTGGTAAATGTGTTCTATCACTGTAGCAAGTTTCATCATGATAGGTCAAAAATCGAAGGAGAGAGAAACCCCTCAAGTTTCCCCACTGACAGTAATGTTTTTCTTAATGCACATGAGCAAACGCCATTAACAATGTACTTACAAAGATTCTGAAGTTTCGTAAAGTTTCAAAATTTTTACCTCCAACATTCGGAAAGGAATTTAGAAAAGAAGCGCCAGCGCTCCTTGCTTTTGAACACAGTTTAGAATTATTATTTTTTATCACACATGCCTAATATGTACCTTGATTCCAATGAGTTACAACTGTTTTCACTGTGAAATTGCTTCTTTGCAGCTTTAATGTGATTGTTTTAAAACAGTGGTTCTCAACCTGTGGGTCCCTAGATGTTTTGGCCTTCAACCCCCAGAAATCATAACAGCTGGTAAACTGGTCGGGAGTTCTGGGAGTTGTAGGCCAAAACACCTGGGGACCCACAGGTTGAGAACCACTGTTTTAAAACACTATTTATTACTATATAGTTGTCAGGGAACCCATTTCTCTCTTTCTTTGTTGTTGTTTTGCAACATGTATCCTTGGGAGCAGAGTGGAATTAGGGTGAGGTTTAGCTGTGGGGCACAACAGATTGTTAGGTAGCATCATAAATCCGCCAAGTGTGGAGCTAGCATTTTCTTTTCCAACATTCAATGTGTGCACAGTGTCTTGTTCTGAGGAGTGGTGTTATAACTTGTGTCTGTCGAATGTCTCCTTCATTGACTGTGGAAGGAGAAGGGAAGCTTGAGGAATTCCTGCATTAAAGCCCCTTTGCTTTCCCACAAAACAGGGGAAAATAACATGTCTGGTAGGAACTGCAGGGTGTTCACAATGCTTTGTTCTCTCCCAGAGAATGGAAGCTATTTGGCCAGGGCACCACTGAATGACCAAGCTCATTATTCCTCCTTCCCTTTCTTTGCCAAGGCACTGAAGTATAGTAAATGGTCAATTGTGGTACATTCATTCCAGTCAATGCCAGGGCAAGCTGAAAGAGGGCAGAAGCTGTTTATGAAGTTTATCCCTCCTCCTCTTCCTCCTCCTCCTAATTCATTGTATGTTCCTCCTTCTGCCTTCAAGGACAAGATAGATATGTCACCTGATAAAAAAAGGGAAATACAGCATTATAAAAAAGGGAATACAACATTCTTCATTAATATATACCCACAGAACAACAGTTGTCTTTGAAAAAAAGAATAGTAGCAAAGCAGTGCTTCAGAAGCAAAAGAGGTACCACAGTAGCTTTTACTGTTCTCAATGACATTTCTTTGTAAAATGAAAGATATTTTAAATCCTCTAATTCCATGTTTTCTCTTACAGCTTCAGACTCATAACAAGATCTCCTGCCACACGCTCAGATTTTGTGATGTCCGTGGTTCGGTTTCTTCGGGAAAACAATTTTGATGGCTTGGATCTTTCTTGGCAAACCCCAGAACAGAATGATAAAAGACGTTTGGTGAACCTGGTTACGGTACGTTAAAGGTATTGATTCAAGAGGCAATTGGACAAACTTAAAAAGGATGTCTCAGGGTTACTCAATGTCTCAGCTTTGGGCCATTTATTTTAAAATGAATGTTTTAGAAATGAATTCTTCAGAAATTTCAGAGTTTTAAGATCTGACCCTTAGTTGTAGAAGTTATCAAAACTTGGAAAAGTTACTTTATGGACTCTTCTCCCAGAATTTACCAGCCAATATGGTTACCTTAAAAATTAGAGACCAACAAAATACATTTCTCAACTAATTAGAGCACAATCGCTGTTAGGGAATGAGCTGAAGGTGGCAGGAAGGAACTTTGGTGAGTAGGTGCACAACATGACACTATTGCTCCCCTCAACGCTTCTGTCACTGGAGTACACGCTCCCCAAATGGGAAGTGTAGTTGACAACCCTTTGTGTCTTTTTGAGCTCCCTGCAAATTACTTACTTCTATTTTTATCTCATTAGAGTTTTTTTTAAAAAAACATTTTATCCTGTACATGTGGTCCACCCATTGTTACTGCGATTGAGTTTATTGTAATGTTATTTTGTTATTGTATTCATATGTTTTTTTATGTAAGTTTGATTATGTTGCTTTTTGTTTATGTTTTGGTTTTATTTTGATGTAATATGTTGTCCGGGCTCAGCCCCATGTAAGCCACTCCGAGTCCCCATTGGGGAGATGGTGGCGGGGTATAAATAAAGTTTATTATATTATTATGATCAATTACTGCTGTTCTGAACAGCCTAAGTACTGCATAGGACAGCAAAAGCTAACTGTTCCTTAAATCACAATAATATCTACCTTTTAGGAACTATCTCTCACATTTGAGAATGAGGCTAAGAACAATCCAAGCAAGGAGAAACTCATTCTGAGTGTTACAGTACCATCTGGAAAGGAAGCCATTGATAACGGCTATGATATCAAGAGTATCTCAAGGTAAATCCTTTCAGTTATATTTGTTACAAAGACAAGGTGAAAGGTACCTAGAATGGAAAGCATGCTGACTAGAAAATTGCCATGCTCATGGGCATTTCATATTGCCAGTCATTGAAATGGTGCAGATAAAAGCTATGAGGATATGGGGCTCATTTATGAAACTACCATCCTAAAAGGAGAATTAATATCTGGTTTTAAATGCGACTTTAGCCATATAATTTTACAACATCCCATCTCCATTCTCTTATGCTGCAATAAAAGGTGAAACTGGAATCCTTTGTTAGTCCCAAATAAAGGAGACTAGCATTTAGGTAAACCTAACCATTTCATTGATTCAGTGTCTTTATTCTAGTTGAGATTAAGAGTTTGACCTAACTGTCATGCCTTCAGATTTCCCAGGGGCAAATCTGGTGCAGGTAGCTAAATGGGTACTATATTTTAACCTTGCAGGCTTGAAATGTAAGCATTGTTGTTGTTGTTCATTCGTTCAGTCGTCTCCGACTCTTCGTGACCTCATGGACCAGCCTACGCCAGAGCTCCCTGTCAGCCGTTACCACCCCACAGCTCCCTCAAGGTCAGTCCAGTCACTTCAAGGATGCCATCCATCCATCTTGCCCTTGGTCGGCCCCTCTTCCTTTTGCCTTCCACTTTCCCCAGCATAACCACAATAATGGGGTTTGATTTACTGTTTGTTCTCCTTCTACAGTTCTGCAGATTTCCTTAATTTCTTGACTTATGATCTCCATGGTTACTGGGAAGATAACAGTCACGCCTACACGGGGCATGTCAGTCCCCTTAAGAAGGGCCTAGCTGACAGTGGAACGGCATCGTCTTATAATGTGGTATGTTGTGTCAGTGCATTCTAGTAACTCCCTCCACCAGTCATATGGTTGTCTGCTTTTAGCTTTAGGCAACACCTTCTCCCATGGCAGTTGTTAAATCTGCACTTTTCATGTCATCACCATACACAAATGTTTTGCATTTCTATCGCTAGCAATTCATACACACAGTGTGCCTATAACGGTCTGTTCCAAGGCACTTCATTCCATGCATCTGAGGAAATTGTCTATGAAAGCTTATGTTACTAACATTTTCTCAGTCTCTAAAGTGTTACAAGAGATATATGCTGATATTCCAGACAAATATAGTTATGTCTTTGAATATTAATGTTATTAGGTTTATTTGAATAATTGGGTTTCACATGACCGTTGAAGAAATAGCAACCCATCATGCAATATAGCAAAACTGGAATATGCATGGTGTCTCATCAAATATGCACATTTACTAATCAAATCCTCCTTCCTTTTGCAGGATTATGCAGTAAAATACTTAATAAGTAGGGGTGCTCAAGCTGAGAAGATCGTCATGGGAATCCCCACGTATGGGCGGACTTTCACTCTGTCTTCCCACCAGTCTGGAGTTGGGTCTGTGGCTTCTGGCCCAGGAAATCCTGGTCCTTTCACAAAAGAAATGGGAATTCTGGCCTATTATGAGGTAAAAATGTTTTCATGCATGTTTGTCTTCCCATTAAACACATGGAAATCACGGCATCATTCTGTTTTCTAGACCCCAGTCAAGAGCACGAATTCCTGATTCAGATATGAAATCCCAGCATGAAGTTTGACAACTTTAGAGAGTGAGACAGACAGAAAAGCAGAAAGGCAGACAGACAGCATGTAGTGGTCTGTGTATTGGACTTGGACCCCAGGAGGAGGGTCAGGTTTGGAAACTTATTATATAATAAAGTCATATTCTCTCAGCCATCAAGAATAGCAATGTAAAACCTTGTAGTATATGTAGTATAGATTTGCCCTACATTTGAGTTGACTTGAAGGATATAACAACCACTACCATAGCAAATAGTACTTAATTATACACACACATACATAATTTCTTGAAAATGTAAGCCTTTTTTAAAGGAGCACTCCTAGAAGCCCAATCCCCAGTCAGCATGGCCTTTGGTTGTGGGATGGCCATGCTGGCATGGGATCCTAGAAGCCCAATTCCCAATCAACATGACCAGTCCACAGCCACAGGCCACACTATTTGGGAGATTATGGGAGCAATTGTGCAAAAGGGTACATGCTTCACATATAGCTCACATGCAACAAACGTTCATCTAAGTTTACTTCATGTGAGAGGTTACAATGTCCAGTCTCACTGCCTAAGATGTGGAGTTCCCTCCAAGCCCCCCAACACTATATTTTGACCATAAACCTCTACAGTGAGTAAGGAGTCTTTCATACCTGGAGGCTTCCTATGAAGATTAGGCTTCTGCAAGACATTTTGCTGTGAAAACAAAAAGCATCTCTAGACAAGGGTCGTAAGGTCCCAAACTGACAAGCCTACTGATACAGAAGAAGCCCTCATTGATGCCAGTGGCTCATGATCAGATAATGGCTGGTGGAGGTTGCTCCTGTGTAACGGACTGTATGGGCCTGCTTTGTGTACAGATGGTTTTAAATGGTGTATTTTAATATTGAGATAAATGTTTTTAATGTTTATGTATGCATATAATGAATTCCTGCCCCGGCATTGAATGTTTGCCATATATATGCTGTGCTCTGCCCTGAGTCCCCTTCGGGGTGAGAAGGGCGGAATATAAATGTTTTAAATAAATAAATAAATAATATACATCTATACTGTATTTTGTGTAAAGACAAAATATCCATAAGCAGATATTTGGGGCCCAAGTCATCTGGAGGTTTAAGGGTAAAAGCCAGAAGTACAGTTTATTGATCTGTTTATGTAATATGTATCTCTTCCAACCTGTGTCTGCCAGATCTGCAGTTTCAATTATGGTGCCAGGAAAGAATGGATTGCAGAGCAAGCAGTTCCGTACTCTTACAAAGGAAACCAATGGGTAGGATATGAAGACGTGCGAAGTGTTGCACTTAAGGCAAGTATTGTCAAAACTTTCATTCCCTGCTTTCATTAAATAATGTCACCTAAGTGAGTAGCTTACAAAGGTTGTACAATAATGTGAGAATTAGTCCTAGTCATATAATGCCAGTTTTGGAAGTGTAGGTCCCCAATACAACAGTTCCTTTTATAACATACAGAAGAATCCATAAATTCAGGAAACTGTATTGATCTATATGATACCTCACCACCTCCTCAAACCTACCTTCACAGCCTGGTAGCACTCTAACTAAAGCATTTCTGAGTCTCTAGATACTGGAATGCTAGAAAACGATATCTGTAACACTCTCCTGATTAAAGGGTGTCTTGCAAAAGGGAACTTGCGGTCCTTTCACAACTTCTTGGCCCACCCCACAGCTTAAAGAGCATTTTGGTAATCTTTTCGCAGTTCTCTGATTTCCAATGTCTCATAAACACTTCAGTCAGGGGCTGCCAGATTATGAAGCCAAGTTTTGGGAGTCATTGTATTCGTGACCATAAGTGTGAATCATCAGCTTGATATAATCAGCTTGAAAAACGTACTGTGCTTCTAGATTTGCCTAATTCTTTGCTTTTTGCTTTAGGTTCAGTATATGAAACAAAACAATTTGGGAGGCATTATGATTTGGACACTTGACCAAGATGATTTTTCAGGTTCTTTCTGCAATGAAGGAAAATATCCATTACTTGGAGCAGTTAAAAAAGAGCTGGACAAATGAATAACCAATTCTGCAGAATGAATGAGCTTGAATATCAAGTGAACCTTGAAGATGCAAGGATGCTTTGTGCTTTTATTCTAGGGAGGAATGTAAAAGACCAAATTGCCATATGCAAAACATGGTAACATGGTTTAAACTTTTTTAAAAAAGGTTATACTATAGATCACCACAATTAGTTTTGTGGGTTTCTGTGGTTAATGTGATTCTATCCTAACTCATGTGCTTTAATGGACTGAAGTCATGAATTCTCATTCCTGCACTGCAATCTTCTTTTGTTTATGTTTCTGTTTTAGATTATCATAAAAGGTGTTTGATTCCAGCCTCACTGTTCGAAAAAAAGTAATTTACTCTAGAAATTGGGCTGCATATATTGGTTTTTAAACATATGTCTAATGATTTCAATAAAACAGTTTGAAATCCTTTCAAGTAGATTTTCTTTTCTTGACTGGGAAATAGTATTCTTAATTTCCAAAATTACATTTGTGCATGTATGCTTTGTGGTGTGGTACTGAGTAGCAAACAGAATGTACTCATCTGTCTAAAACTAGTCTTAAACCTAAGCCTTATTCAAGCATTTGAAGAATACATGTCGGAATAATGTTTAAAGCGATCATACAGGCACATGCGCCAACTTTAACACATGGAAGACTAGGAATATTGTCAATATTTTATCATATACTTCCCAGTTGGTGGGAAGAACCAGTAAAAGTTTTTATCTCACCAGATTTCCATCCAATCTTTTAATATGAAAATGCTGTGTGGTTCATAGCTGGAGAAATCAATGCCAAAATGACAGTAATGTTAAAGAGGCATAATTAATGATTTAACAACCAGCCTTGGAATGAAAAAGTGACCCCCACAAAAAAACCTTGCTCTGCTGTAAGATTTAACCTCAAGACATTTAAGCTCAAAACAAACACAACAAAGCTGACATGCTGTGCCAAGGCAATGTGTAGTTTAGCCAACCTATTAGAAACAGAAAGAAACTTTACTAGTGATCTTAAATAAAAACATACAGATGAAGGTCACAGAACAGAACAGAATCCAAATGCATAGGCACCTCAAAGAGGTAAGGAAACAAGACTAGCAAAACAACTTAATCAGTGGAATCACTGCCAACTGAACAGGCACTTTCCATGTGGGAAATAAAATGCATGTCCCAATAACCATAGTACAAAGGCATTTTTGGACTGTGATTCAAAATCAGGTTTCCTAGCCTGGAAGCTTTATAGGACTAGTACTATTTGATCTAGTAAGGAGGCTACTGCCAATAAGTTTCCAGTCCCAATTCAAGGTGCAGGTTATGATCTATAAAGATCTAAACGGTCCAGGTCCCATCTATCTTCGTGATCGTATCCCCCCCCCCCCCCCATGAACCAGCACAGGCTCTAAGATCTGCTGAAAAGGGCCTCCTCTCACTTCCACCATCACAAGCACAGCTGGTGGGGACAAGGGAGAGGGCCTTCTCAGTGGTGGCCCCTTCACTTTGGAACACCTTCTGCAGGGAGATTAGTCAAGTCCTCATACTGTCCTCCTTTCACATGGATCTGAAAACCTGGATGTTTCAGCAAGCATGCGAGAATGACTAGTCCCTAGCTATAAATGCCCAGTCCCTAGGTCTCCATATAGTATTCTGTTATGCACTTCATACACTTCCTCGGCCCTATGGTACACTGTGTGCACTAATCCTGGCACAGTCATTTTATAGCCTGGTCATGGCCAGTAATCGTGATCATTGGTTTTTGTTGAACTTTATCTGGAGCCTCAATGCAATCTGTTTATAATTTTCTGTTGAGTGTGTTTTTATCTGGATTGCTGTTTTTTATGATGCTCTTATTTTAATGGTGATTTTTTAATGAATTGTTTTTGCATTTATATTTTGTTTTGGTTTTGGTTTTTTTGTGGACATTTTGTTCCATACATAAGCCGCCCTGAGTTCCTTCAAGGAAATGGTGGCAGGGTATAAGAATGAAATTATTATTATTATTATTATTATTTATAAAAATGTATTCATATGCATGCATTCATATTTGTAACTCTCCTTATTCTTGAGCTGTAATTAAATCTCTGGTTGCCATCCAACACAATTCAATATTCCACTTAAAATTATATTGTTTTAGGGATACTTTTTAAAAATAGAAACCTGTTATAAGTATATTTTTATAAAAGTAGTATGTATTTCTCAAGAAACAATCAGATATTGTATCTACATTTTCCTTTATTTGAATATCTCCCAAGTTCTATTTAAAGTTCTAATATTTTAAAAAAATTCTACCTAGGATAAAGAAAAAAAATTAAAGAAATAGATGCACTCAGCATAATTATATTTGTTTATATATTAACTCTGTGCAACTATGGCAGCTAACACTTAATAATTTGCTAGTGACAGTTCGGCACCACTTGCCTCAAAACTGTGCTGTTAATTCCTTAAATTAATTGCCACAAACGCACATCAAATTAAATAGCACATTAAAAGGTGAAAATTGGAAAGCAAATTGACTTGAGGAGATTATCAATATCTTTTCCAAATAGCTGCTATCTGACATTTCCCCTTTTTGGCTCACACATGGATTTGCTTCCAATGTCATTTTTTCTAATATAATTATATAAGTAAACCTCTTATGTTTGTCTTCCTTATCTAATGACTAGTATCTTTGGTAAATTTCAAGTGGGGTTATGCCAGTGATTTGGGGCCAAAATCAAGGAGGGGGGAATATGTGCCTGCTAGTCCCAAACTTCAGAAGTCTGGGAATGGAGATAATATTTCAAGGTGAAGATGGCTGCTAGAGGAGATGCCTATGATAATTTTGTCGACATATTAACTTTTTGTTTAACTTTTGGAATGAGGGCATTTGAAGTTATACTCACTCAGCAGGGGGTGGGCACAGATGGAAACATATAAAAAGAAAGTAAGGAATGAACCAAACTAGTACACAGGTATCAAAATGGGCAAACTACTCCTTCTCACTGGTGAGTATGAAGGATACATCTATGCAGCAGCAAAAAAAGACAAGCTCTAGGGCTTCTGCCTGTCCATTTGTTGTCCTATGTCTTCTCTTATGAGCTCAGACCCTAAAAAAGTACTTTTGTATGTTTCTTGATTACAATATTTGATGAGAATGCTCTAAATGTTGTTGGTGCTTCCAGGCAGAGTTTAACCTTTTGTCCTACTTTGTTCATGGGATCCAAATTATGTGATCTTTTGTTGAGAACCTGTCCATGCTTATTTGTTGCTTTTCCCATTTTTAGTTCTTGCGGCATCAAGCCTATTTAGGATAAAATATGGAATAGCTTCAAAATTCATCTTAATTAATAGTTCTTCAAATAGATTAGCTGTATATTGACTTTATGCAAACAAATATACTATTTTGTGCTCATTTCACACTGTATTGTTTAGGCCAATGAAAGATATCATATGATAGATTCTATCAGGCAGTTTCATGAAAACCGTCATCTGTAAGTGATCATGTTCTTCACAGCCATAATTATTATGCAAGATTAGGGCAATCCATGAATAGTTTCAAACACTGATATGGCCTAAAGCAAGCTGTGTTACTAAGAATTATTTTCCCCAAAGGAACAGAGTATTTCTGTGCAGGCATGTAGCTGGGGGGGGGGGGGGCTTGGGGGGCTTCAGCCCCCCCCCCCCCAATTCTCATGGTGGTTCGCAAAAAGGCCTTACTGGTGCATTATTTAAACTGTTATGTTTATTCATATCATGATCTGATCACCATACTCAATATATCCCACATGCATGGGGCTAGCCCCCCCCCCCGGAAACAAACTCACCCCCACCCCCGAATCGTAATCCTGGCTACGGGCCTGCTTCTGTGACAAAGTGAATCCGCCATTTATATTTTGAGGGAATGAAGAATACTTTTATTTTTATGCTTTACTCACAATGGAACTTTTCTTTCATAGGTCTGGCTTTCCTGCTGCAATTGCAGCTTGGTAAGTTCTAGTCTACTCCCCATTTTATCATATTCCATAAAAAGCAATATTCCAAACCTTTTTTTTCTCAACCCTAGTTAATTACAACCTTGTGTTGATTGACTCTATATCTCCTCCTATGCAGGTGCAACTACCAATATCGTCTGTTACTTCACCAACTGGTGCCAGTACAGACCTGGCATTGCACGTTACATGCCTGAAGATCTTGACCCATGCCTCTGTACTCATGTCATCTATGCATTTGCGGGCATGACTAACTACCAGATCCAGACCATTGAACCAAATGATGTGGCCCTCTATGGTGGCATCAATGGACTCAAAAGCTAGTAAGAATATTTTGTATATTTACATAGAATACTGAAAACAATAACAAAGTCCAGAGAATATTGGGCATCTCTTAACATGTTCAAACCACAATGGCTTTTATGGGACTTTGGTCCACCTCATTTTTCTGTAGATGCCCTATCCTGTTTGAATATCTTTTTGTTTCCATTCCACATTAAGTTCACTGAAATATATGTTATGCTAGAGGTATACGAGATCAAAGTCATTACAAATAGCATTGCTTAGGTAGTTTCATCTTGGAGACATCTTTGATCAAATTCTAAAGAATTCGCAATAGATATCATTGCTGCTATCACCTCTTCCCTATCTGTCCAAACCTGAAATAGTATGGGATCTCTTTTAGGATCTGTCAATCCTGCATACAAGACTGGCATTTCTGGGGGGGGGGGGGGGGGGGGGGTTGTTTTGTTTTTTTGTTTTGTTTTTTAAAGATAGCTCGTAGATGATTCAGAGTTTCTAATTGCCTTTCTTATTTTTCTTTTTCCCCTCCAGCAATCCTGATCTGAAAACCTTGCTCTCTGTTGGAGGCTGGAACTTTGGTACCCAGAAGTAAGGCCTTCTTTTACAAGCATTTTGAATGGCTTCTCACTTAACATATTCTCTCAACTTTTCTCTTTGAATGCCTTAGAATTATGTGCATTCTATAAAGCCTGTTTTAAAGGTTTTTTATAACATTAACTGAGTGGATCATACTTAAAATATGACTATACATCTATATAGATATAGATCTTTTATTTCATATATAAGTAGTCATATATATGGCCCTCCAGATGTGGTCAGACATCTGCTCTCATCAATCCTAGACAATATAGCCAGTGATGAAGAGATGTAGTCCAACAAGATAT